AGGACTATCATCCAAAAGAACTCGTCGCGCCTAGACGCTCTTATTCGATGGAAGAATGAGCCGTCTCTTGCTGCCAATCAGGAATCCTGACGCGGCAGGTCTGCAATGGTCTTGTCCTTCAATCTCTCGTGATTGATCTTCGTCCCCTTACCCACGCGCTCAATTTCCGATTTAATTGGACAGTGGTAGGATATCAGTATCAATTCTTGTCAGTGGCACGATACAAACCTGATTAGTAGTACCTGACAGGCAGCACCCTAGCTTCTGTTGCTGCACCTTTTTTTCTTCCTACTTGGAAGAGAAGAAAAAAAAAAAAAAAAAAAATTCTGGAACTCTTTATGCTCTCATTCTGTCAACTGTTATCGCCAACGATAAAGGAACAAAGTATCTGTTTCAATGCCAGCAGATTCTACGCATAGCATAGCTACTGACTTAGCTTCACGTCTAGTGCGCAACTTCCACATACACCCCCACCGTCAGTCTCCATTTTTCGGAACGGGTAGCCAACGAGCAGCATTATGAACGGACTGAAACAATAAGCAAGACTAAGGATCCGGACCACCGAGTGTCCGCTCAATGAGACACGGCAGTCCCCCAAAGAACCAGTGTTGCCAAGCATACTGGCGTGTAATGGTCGTCTGCGGGATGGAAATGACGGGGCCTACGAGGTTACGAAGACACTAGAGTAGCATGCCTGCTTAGCTACAACTAGTCGCTGCATGACAGTCGCAGAGGTGTGGAGCCTTTGCGAGGATATCGATTAAGGTGAAATCTCGCCCTGCGCCTCAATGAGAAGGTACCTAGCATGACAACGCCCGCCAGTGATGCAGGCTTGGTGTCATGTCCCACTCTAGCAGATGCGTGAGCTTCTTCCTGCAGATGGTGGAAGTCTCGATCCCAGTGGCAGGACTCTTCTGAGGGTCAAACCAACGTTACTGGCAGTGATCCGTTGTGACCGGGCTATCTCGTCAGTGGTCGCTCTCCAAGTATACTTAGCTCAGGAGTCAACTGCTACCTAGCTATTAGGACACACATCGACTTTCTCCCCATCCCGCATACATCGGGCTGCGCTACGCTACCTTTTACTCGCTTGGGAGTAGCGCCCCTCTGCGATATACCCCGAGGAACGCCGGGACTAGATCATTGCGGTCCTCTGACTGGCAAGGTTCTCCCTGGTCTTTCCTTCCTTTTTCGACCCCTCTTGTCTTGGTTTTGCTTTTTTGCTTCTTCTCCGTTGTCTTGGTTTCCCGTCTTTTTCTTCATTTCCGGCGTGGTGCACCTTCCTTCCCCTTTAGCCATCCCTCACATCAGTGGGTATCCAAGGCGGCTATTAAACTTTGAACTTGCGCGCCCGACTTTGGTAACGCGGTGCAACTGCGCGCAAAAAGTACCTTCTGGCCCCATAGCCCCCCTTCAATCTCGATTTTCCCCTTTTAGTTTACGTTAATGTGACTTTTGACTTTCGAAAAACGGGCCGCGCCGAATGTTTAAGGCTAATCGGCAACAGTTCGGTGCCCACCACCGTATGGACGGTCGGATGGAATGCATCCGCAAGTGAGCACTATGCTTAAGCACGCTTGGGCCATATAAGGGATATGGCAACTGGCACGTTAACAAGTTCATTAACCAAGGCGCTGGGTTGAAGTCTAGAACCGTATCAGACCGGGGGGTCTGATATACGATTATCATGACTGACTGCCGCTGCATATTTGCTCTCACATGGGCTTCTCATCACCAACATGGCTGCCGAGATGCAAGAAACATATTCACTCAGAGGCGGCTAGCGATAATTCGGCCGAAGGATCAATGAGATTGTCCCCGTCGGTGGGAAGAACTAGTGCCAGTTGTGTCTTCCAAAAGAGCCACGAATTCCTCAAATCCCTGATAGCATCCGCAAGTTGAATCAGCAGTTAGACGCCACGAAAGAAACCCCCTCTCACAGGAACCCACTCGCCTTTCCGAGTGTTCGCGATTCCTTGCCGCCCTCTTCACCAATCGGCCGTTTGGCCAATCGCAGCAGTCGTGACCTTCCAAAGGCCACAATACGATTCAAGTCCTTAAAAATGTATAGGCATAACACTTGTGGTAAATTGAGGATCTGACACAGCGTGATCCAATCATTTAGACCAACCAAGATATAGGATGATGATAAAATCCGATCGAGTCAGAAGTAAGTAGTTGCCTTCTTTGCCTCCTCGGTTCGACATCAGACATTGCCAGGATGTATCCTGTATCTTGCATGAAGTGTGGCGCCTCCCATCCCTGTGCCTTTCATTTGACCGGTCTATAACGGTGCGATGCCTGCCAATTCCTCCGGATCCGAATAATCTACATTATGCTACTTGATATATGCTACATGATACTTTAGCGTCGTGATAGACAACGATAGCATCCCTTCATATTTTAGGGTTACTTGACCACGAGACTACATCTGATTCAAGACCGTCACAGCAGCGGCTAAGGCTGGTGTCACCCTCAGCACATGCCAGATGAGCCAAGCGACTGGGCCAAAGAAGCTTGCTGAGCGTGTTGCTGTATGTATCTGTCGGGCCAGGCTGGCTTGGGTAGAATTCTAATACACAAATCATATGCCTTTAGGATAATATCATCATCTCACTATTATGAGAAATCGATTGCAATTCGGACTTCGCACGGATCTGGTTCTCTCACCAATACCTTCTCTTCCTTTCTTTGGTCATTGCCCATGCACCCCGCTTCGGCGAAGGGCAAGTACATCATCTTTCATACTCATGTTAACAGAGCGTTCAGTGATACTTCATTGGAAAGCAGAGAGGAATTATTCAAGCCACGGCCTACCCCCCACCTTACACCCCTCTCTTACCGTCTGTGAGGAAGGCACAGGATACGGAATAGTACATGGAATGGCATGGATGAGTCAGGGAGAAAAGGAGGCAGATGGAACCATCCTCGGTGTCACATGTGACCTTTTCCCCTCTTGTCCCTTTCGCATAATGCGGAACTTCAAAATGAAAGAAATGAGCACTAACGCAGGGTGAGAGCAGTCACTTGAAGTTGGTCTGACAGTTGAATTGTTGTTTTGCTGCTGCTGCCACTTAATTGGAGCTCAACGAACCAAGAAATCAACACAGCCAGCTGGTCGATCTCCCTGTCAAACAGCATCAAGAGCATCAAGCACTCCTTACTAAATTTACTACTTGCTAGCCCACTCCGCCACAATTTCAGCGCCAAGTTAATGCTCGTCTGCTTACCGCATCTCGTTTCACTGACAGAAGGGCCCAAACAGCACCGCCGCCGCAGCAAAAAAAAAAAAAAAAAAACAGCAGCAGCAGCAGCAGCAGTAGCCGCAGGGTGGATATTTTTCATGTCGGATGATCAACCGACCCCCGAACGACCGATGGCTAACGCGCCTGTCAGACTGTCATTCATGTCAGTCAGCTACATGCCATCTGCAGGCGAACAGGGGTCCAGGATTATTTCAATAGTGGCCAGACTAGATGTGTGCGAATCTGTCATCATGATGTATGATTCATGGATGAATTCTTTTGCCGCCAGAATTCCTTTTGGGGGGAGAGGAGGTGTTGGAACAATCATTGACCCGTTCTTGATCATTGCTAATTAGGTGCTTACGGTCACTCACTACTACCTCTTCACACACAATGGAGACAAAGACCGCCCGATTATTCCGGAATATAGGAACAGTAGGTAAGTAAGTAGGGAGAATAATGGATACGAGGGGACCACTGACTAGGGTGATGGTAAAACTACTACCAAATGATAATGAATCCCATTATATATTTTCCCTTACTCCGATGATCCCTCATCCTCTCGGTCCGAGTTACTCACCTTCTCTTAGGTATGTACTACCTACCCACTTACCAATTGACCTACTTCCTGTACAGGCTGCACAGGCTAGTGGTAGTATGTAGTATGCTATGCTGTGCTGGATAATGCCCAGCCATGACAATGCAGGGCAGTCAAATCACTCTGCGTTAACTTATCTTAACGCCAGCCTAGAATTAACTAACTACGTCTGCCAACCTGCCACCTAACGAACTGGACCTGCTGTGTCAAATCCAAGGAAATCTGCTCAGGTATCACAAACACCAAGCCATTCGGTCATACTCCCTACCCATTTTCTTTCTTTCTTTTTTTTTTTTTTTCTTCCCACTCATACAGAACCAGGTGCCCGGAGTCTGGACATCCCCGGGTAGCAGTAGTAGTTCTTAGTATTGCGGCTTTTTTCTTTTCTTCTATTTCTTAGTGTTTGCTTTTCTTCCCCCTTCCCTTAGGGGTGTTGCGTCTATCCTCCCATTAAGGGTGTATTGTCCGAAGTCGGACGCGTGATGAAGCACAATAGATATGTAGTTAGTAGGTGGATAGGTACTTATGTCTTCACCTGAATATAATAATTCAGGATACCATATCCACCATCACGACTACCACACACGTACCCGAAGTTCAATAGAAATATATATATGTGTCAACCTCAAAATAAAAATAAACCTCCAACCGATAGCCAATTAACTGACCACTACGTACTTTAAAACACACGTGCCGAGTGGTTTCACAGCACAACTTACACAACTTACTTACACTTAGTATTTATTTTTACCACTCCGAGGAGATATGCCCTCGGTTCCGCTTTCGGTTGGTTGTGCAGAGAATGGACTTTAACTACAACTATTTACACAAACACACTTATGTACGTAGTAGTTCGCTTCGATCGATCGATTTTATCTATCTACTGTATCTTGGTTGGTGGATCGGTTCGTGGGTTGGTTGGTTGGTTGATTGATTGATTGCTTGAAAAGGTGGGAAAGAACTACTACTTATTTCATGCCGCTGCAGGTACGTAAGTAGTTTGTTTAGGCGTTCAGGAGAGAGAGAGAGAGAGAATTATAGTTTAGTTTGTAGTTTATGGTACCCCGGGGATCTTCTTCGGTGTAGTCATGGCCAGATATATACGGCCTGGGATGACTTACCTTAATCTCCTGGTGATGAGAGCGAATATGAAAGAAGTGGATTCGAAGAATTGTCTCAAAGTCTACGGAGAACGACGATTGCACAAGTTTCTGGCGAGGCTACGGTGTGGAGTGATGCGACGAACACGATGCACATCAAACCCCAGCATATCGAAGCGGCAACAAACGGGAAGAACGAAAGAAAGATGGGGCAGGTCAAGGAGGGTGAAAAAAATGGAAATCTCATTTCATGAATAGAAGAATTCATTCATTGGGAACCACGACCCGTACATATTACCCCGTCGTGTTTCATTTTTTAGCCGCGCCGTTCTTGTTCATTGAAGAATGAAAGAACCCTAGACCGAGCCAAATTTTTTAAAGAAAATTTTCCATGATTCGCTCCTCTAATCACAAAAAAACATCATTTATTGATATTTATGATGCATTTAGCGCTTGCCGGCAGCCTTCTCCTGAGACTCCTTGAGGACCTTCTTGACGATCTTCTGCTCCTCAATCAGGAAAGCACGGACGATGCGGTCCTTGACGCAACCGGCGCAGCGGGAACCACCGTAGGCGCGGCTGACGTTCTTCTTGGGGCGGGAGATCTGAGCGTACTCGCGGGGGCGGAGAGCGGGGACCTATACCGGTGGAAAAGGGTGATACGATCAGCCATTTTTTGCTCTTCCTTCATGTCCTTGATATAGCGAATGGTGGTGGTGGTGGTGGTGGTAATGTTGATTGTTGTCGTTTCCTTGTGTTGGACGAAGCGATCATCCATGCACGCACACTCTCCATCCACTCATCCATTTCCCAGCTCGTTCACACACAACCACCACCGCCACCATTCAACATAGATAATTCGGGAGCACTCACACCAGGGAGCTTGATGCCACAGTCACCGCACTTGGGAGCAGTGCCCTTCTTCTTGATGTGAAGGTAACGGAGCTCACCGCCGGGGGTCTTGATGATGCGGACCTGGTTGGACCGCGTGTTGTACCTGAAGAACAAAATCCATCAATACCCTATTCATGAATATCTCGGCGTATATATAGAATTTCAAGAGCAAAGCAGCGGTCCATCGCGTCGAAACCGGACAAATCGTTATTGCACCGTAGCGACCGATAGAGAAAGAAAATTTGGTGGGTGTGACAAAAGGCACGATGGGGGGGAGAATCAAGAGGGAAAAATTCAAACATACGGGTTCCGGCGGCGCTGCAGAGAAAAAGAGCATTAGATCAGTATTCCATTTCATATAATATTCAGAGATTCAATATACTCACGTATTGGAGTCTGTTGTTCGCCATTTTGTCTGTCCTTGAACCTCTAGGTCGGTGGTCTCAAGAGATTGGCGGCGGCGTCGTCGGTTGTCGTCGTTGACCTCGTAGAATTCTCGCGGTAATCTGGATTTGTGTGGGTTTCGCTCGGAGCCCTGGGCGGCCGCGCTAGCGCTAATTTGGCGAGAACGCGCTAACCCAAATCCGGACTAGTACCGGCCCGAGCAGAGCCGCCACCTCTTTTCAGACTTGCTTCATCAAACAAGGCAGGAGAAGCAAGAAGAGACTGGAGCAAGCTGTCTTATCACCTTCCCGTCGTGAGAAGGGGATCGTCCAGGAGTGGTTTTATCTTCTTCGGGGCAAAGCTTCATTTCTCCGACGCGATTTCTTTTTATCAATCTGTTTTAATTCCCCCCTCCTCCATTCCGTTTTTTTTTCGCGTCGCTGAGCTGCAGTCGATGAGCTCGCGATAAGTCACGACCCGTGCATCTTTTGACGCGACTTAGTCACGAAACTTCCAGCCCGTCCATCAGAGCAGAGAGTGTCTTTCATATATACAACCCATTACCATGGCATCATTGCCTCCCCCTCCGCCTCCGGGCTGGGGTGCGTCGGCGCCGCCGTCGATGCCGTTGGCTCCTCCGCCACCGGGATATCAACCGCCTCCGGATCCGACTGTCGCGAAGTTTGCCCAGAAGAAGAATGAATGGCTGCGGACGCAACGGAACCGATTTGGCGAGAAGAGAAAGGGTGGATTCGTTGAAACACAGAAGGCTGATATGCCCCCGGAGCATCTGCGAAAGATTGTTCGGGACATTGGCGATGTGTCGCAAAAGAAGTTCAGCAATGAGAAGCGCAGCTATCTCGGTGCGCTGAAGTTCATGCCCCATGCTGTGTTGAAGTTGCTGGAGAACATGCCCATGCCCTGGGAATCGGCTAGGGAAGTTAAGGTATTGTATCATGTCAATGGTTGCCTTACCTTGGTCAATGAGACTCCTCGTGTCATTGAGCCCGTCTTTCACGCTCAATGGGCTACCATGTGGGTGTGCATGCGGCGAGAGAAGAGTGATCGTAGACACTTCAAGAGAATGCGCTTCCCTCCCTTCGACGACGAAGAACCTCCGCTATCGTGGTCGGAAAACATTGAAGATGTGGAGCCGTTGGAACCTATTCAGATGGAGCTTGATGAGTCGGAGGATGCTCCTGTCTATGAGTGGTTTTATGATCACCGGCCTCTGCTGGATACTCCCCATGTTAATGGGCCGAGCTACAAGAGCTGGAACTTGACACTTCCGCAGATGGCCACTCTGTATCGACTAAGTCATCAGCTCCTGAGTGACGTCGTCGATCAGAACTACTTCCATATGTTTGACTTGAACAGTTTCTTCACCGCTAAGGCACTGAATGTCGCCATCCCCGGTGGTCCTCGCTTCGAGCCTCTGTACAAGGATATCGACCCCAATGACGAGGACTTTAGCGAATTCAACGCCATCGACCGTATCATCTTCCGCGCCCCTATCCGCACGGAATACCGCGTCGCCTACCCCTTCCTGTACAATACCCTCCCGAGAAGCGTAAAGGTTTCTTGGTACTCTCACCCTCAAGTTGTATATGTCCGCACCGACGACCCTAATCTACCCGCCTTCTACTTCGACCCCGTCATCAACCCTATCTCCTCCCGGTCCGTCGCGCCGAAGAATATCACTGTCAGCCATGAAGATGAGATCTTTGGTGAAGGAAACAACGAGGACGACTTCGAGCTCCCTGGCGACTTCGAGCCATTCTTCTCCGATGAGGAATTGTACACACCCGATACCGCGTCCGCCATTGCCCTCTGGTGGGCCCCTCATCCCTTCAACAAGCGCTCCGGCAAGATGGTGCGCGCCCAGGATGTTCCCCTCGTGAAGCAGTGGTATCTGGAGCATTGCCCGCAGGGCCAGCCTGTCAAGGTTCGCGTCTCATACCAGAAGCTGCTTAAGACGTTCGTCCTCAATGAGCTGCACAAGAAGAAGCCCAAGGCCCAGAACAAGCAGAATCTGTTGAAGACTTTGAAGTCGACCAAGTTCTTCCAGCAGACGACGATCGATTGGGTTGAAGCAGGTCTGCAAGTTTGCCGCCAGGGTTTCAACATGCTTAACTTGTTGATCCACCGCAAGAACTTGACCTACCTCCACCTTGACTACAACTTCAACTTGAAGCCTGTCAAGACTTTGACCACCAAGGAGCGAAAGAAGTCTCGTTTCGGAAACGCTTTCCACTTGATGAGAGAAATCCTTCGTCTCACCAAGTTGATCGTCGACGCCCAGGTGCAATATCGGTTGGGTAACATTGATGCCTTCCAGCTGGCTGACGGCATCCTGTATGCTTTCAACCACGTCGGACAGCTTACTGGTATGTACCGTTACAAGTACAAGTTGATGCACCAGATTCGTTCTTGCAAGGATCTCAAGCATTTGATCTACTACCGCTTCAACTCGGGACCCGTGGGTAAGGGTCCTGGATGCGGTTTCTGGGCCCCGGCCTGGCGTGTTTGGCTCTTCTTCATGCGTGGTATCATTCCTCTGCTCGAGAGATGGCTCGGAAACCTGCTGTCCCGTCAGTTCGAGGGTCGCCACAGCAAGGGTGTTGCCAAGACTGTCACCAAGCAGCGTGTGGAGTCTCACTTCGATCTTGAACTCCGTGCATCTGTCATGGCGGATCTCATGGACATGATGCCCGAGGGTATCAAGCAGAACAAGGTCAACACTGTCCTCCAACATCTGTCGGAGGCATGGAGATGCTGGAAGAGTAACATTCCTTGGAAGGTTCCTGGCCTTCCGGCGCCCATTGAGAATATCATTCTCCGTTACGTCAAGAGCAAGGCCGACTGGTGGATTTCCGTCGCTCACTACAACCGTGAACGTATCCGTCGTGGTGCCACCGTCGATAAGACAGTTGCAAAGAAGAACCTTGGTCGACTCACTCGGTTGTGGCTCAAGGCTGAGCAAGAGCGTCAACACAACTACCTTAAGGATGGTCCCTACGTGTCGTCCGAGGAAGCTGTGGCCATCTACACAACTATGGTCCACTGGCTTGAGTCTCGCAAGTTCTCTCCGATTCCCTTCCCTAGTGTTTCTTACAAGCACGACACCAAGATCCTGATCCTTGCTTTGGAGCGTCTGCGTGAATCCTACTCCGTCAAGGGCAGACTCAATCAGAGTCAGCGTGAGGAGCTCGCTCTCATCGAACAGGCGTACGATTCTCCTGGAACGACCCTAGCCAGAATCAAGCGTTTCCTTTTGACTCAGCGAGCCTTCAAGGAGGTCGGCATCGATATGAACGACAATTACAGCCATATCAACCCCGTGTACGACGTGGAGCCCATCGAAAAGATTACCGACGCCTATCTCGACCAGTACCTGTGGTACCAGGCAGAGCAGCGCCACTTGTTCCCCGCTTGGATCAAGCCGTCGGATTCTGAAGTCCCCCCCTTGTTGACTTACAAGTGGGCTCAGGGTATCAACAACTTGGACAACGTCTGGGAGACTGCCGATGGCGAGACGAACGTTATGATCGAGACCGAGCTGTCCAAGGTCTATGAGAAGATGGATCTTACTTTGTTGAACCGCATGCTTCGCCTTATCATGGACCACAACTTGGCTGATTACATCACTTCCAAGAACAACGTGCAGCTCAGCTACAAGGACATGAACCATACCAACAGCTACGGTTTGATTCGCGGTCTGCAGTTCTCCGGCTTCGTTTTCCAATACTATGGCCTAATGATCGATTTGCTGCTCCTCGGTCTGCAGAGAGCTAGTGAAATGGCTGGACCCCCTGCAAGCCCCAACGACTTCTTGCAGTTCAGAGACCGTGCTACTGAGACGAAGCATCCTATTCGTCTGTACACGCGTTACGTCGACAAGATCTGGGTCTTCCTTCGATTCTCTGCCGATGAGTCTCGAGACTTGATTCAGCGCTTCTTGACTGAGAACCCCGATCCCAACTTCGAAAATGTCATCGGGTACAAGAACAAGAAGTGCTGGCCGCGTGATTGCCGCATGCGTTTGATGCGTCATGATGTCAACTTGGGTCGCGCTGTATTCTGGGATCTGAAGAACCGCCTGCCGAGGTCCATCACCACCATCGAATGGGATGACACTTTCGCCAGTGTCTACAGCAAGGACAACCCGAATCTTCTGTTCTCTATGTCCGGATTCGAAGTCCGCATTCTTCCTAAGTGCCGCAACCAAAACGAGGAGTTCTCGGTGAAGGACAGCGTTTGGTCTCTGGTCGATAACTCGACTAAGGAGCGCACAGCTCATGCTTTCCTCCAGGTCACGGAGGAGGATATCCAGAAGTTCAACAACCGGATTCGTCAGATTCTCATGTCGTCCGGTTCGACGACTTTCACTAAGATCGCAAACAAGTGGAACACGGCTTTGATCGCACTCTTCACCTACTACCGTGAAGCTGCTGTATCCACTGTCAACCTTCTGGATACTATCGTCAAGTGCGAAACCAAGATCCAGACCCGTGTCAAGATTGGTCTGAACTCCAAGATGCCTTCGCGTTTCCCTCCCGCAGTTTTCTACACCCCCAAGGAACTGGGAGGTCTGGGTATGATCTCTGGATCCCACATTCTCATTCCGGCTAGCGACAAGCGGTGGTCCAAACAAACGGATACCGGCATCACCCACTTCCGCGCGGGTATGTCGCATGACGAAGAGACCCTGATCCCGAACATCTTCCGGTACATCATCCCTTGGGAAGCCGAGTTCATTGACTCCCAGAGAGTGTGGATGGAGTATTCACAGAAGCGGCAGGAGGCTCAGCAGCAGAACCGCCGTTTGACGTTGGAGGACCTGGAGGACAGCTGGGACCGTGGTCTTCCCCGTATCAACACCCTGTTCCAGAAGGATCGCAGTACGCTCAGCTTCGACAAGGGTTTCCGTCTTCGCGCTGAATTCAAGCAATACCAGTTGATGAAGAGCAACCCGTTTTGGTGGACTAGTCAGAGACATGACGGAAAGCTGTGGAACTTGAACGCTTACCGTACCGACGTCATCCAGGCCCTTGGTGGTGTCGAAACCATTCTTGAGCACACCCTCTTCAAGGCA